AGCATCCCGCTTCCCTGAGGACAAAGGCGGTGGCAGAGCGTGAGCAAAGCCGACTGTAAAGTGGGTCAGGCACAGAATGAGCAGCAGAGGCTCCTTCCCAGCAGCCCTATTCCACAGCCTCCCTGTTTCCACAGAATGTACACTGACAGCTACAATAAAGATGGGTTTTGACAGTCTTACATTTAACCAGCATGGTGGTGGTGGTGTCAAACCAACTGAGAAGGACAGGCAGCAGGAAAACAGGCTGAAGTCTTTCCATCAAACATGATGGAAACTGGTTTAAAAAGTAGAGTCCTATTTGGCAATTCAGCACGTCGTATTTAAATGTATAATCCCATCTTAGACTGCTCCTGTTTTGTTTCTTAAGAGAACAGTTGCACTCAGGGGTGATCTGATGAGAAATACAGATACAGAAGTCAGTAAGAGGGCCAACTTACAAATGTTTAGTTCCATTTATACCATCTTACAGAATGCTGCATTTATTTGCAGCTTCCACCCAGCCCACAGCTTCCACCAGAGATGCTCAGCTCAGGTTTTGCTCCTCCTCTTCCACCACCCAGTGAAGGTGGCACAATGCAGGCATTGGAAAGTCAGCAGAAAAGAGCTGATGCCAATTTGAGACACTGCATACACCTACATCTGTCTTTAGTTCGTGTTGCAAACCAAAACCAAGGCCCTGACATCTTCACAGCAGTTTGACGATGAGGTAATGGGATAAAGTACTGTGGATCTCATGTGCTGCAGCTGAGCAAGATGCTCTCTGAACACAAGAACGCAGGTTGGAATGCACCTCAGTCTGAAGCAGCACCAACAGCAGCTCATGTGTTTTTCTGGTCCAGTCCTGTAACCTTCCAAGAAGAGATGTTCTGCAGCCTCTCTAGTTCATCTTTTCCAGTACCACAGTACCCTCCTTCTCTAAAAGTGATGCTTTTACATTTTCTGTATGTCAGCAATATATATGTAAGCATTTAAATACTATTAGCAATCTGTGCTTTATGTACTAGAAACTATCAGTTTCATTTTCATCTATAAGCAGTTGCTTACTGTACAGTAATTGAGATCAGGCTCAACTCAGCTTAAGGACTAATGCTTTTAAGCTACAGCACGGGTTTTAAAAGGCTAAAACACGTTGCACTGCTTAATTTAAAACCTGAAGTGTTGTCTCAGCCTTTCTTTTCCTGGATATATGCCCAAGAACTTGAGTCCCTTGCTCAAGAGAACACTTTGTCTTCGTTCTCATCCAGAAGGAGCACAGCCAAATGAATGAGAGCACCAAAACTTCAAAAAACCACAGTGAGCTGACTCAGCTGCTTACTCTGCAGGGCTTTCTTAGTGTGCTCACGTGCCTGTATGAAGTCCAATGTAATTTTTACTTAATGCTTAACCTGTTTCCAAACTACCCTGCCTGGAACATGCAGAGAACTGATACAGAGCAGGCATCCCTGTACAACCACAGCTAAGCAGGCTGTACATCTGGGCAAGACACTGCAACAACCTACAGAGAACAGCAATGCAGAAGTTGTACAGACCAGAAATAAATGAAACAAATCCTACGTTACCACAAATTCTCAGCATACAGGTAAAGCAAGAAGCAATTAAAAAGCCTATGGCTGGTGTACAAGGAGGTAAGTGGGGCCACACCTTCAGTTAACCGAAGGTAGCGTGGCTCCATTTGAAATGCAGTGGTCATTTGATAACACTTGCCTCTTCCAGACCAGCCTATTTTTCCAGAACAAACAGGTGCACCTTCAGCCCTGTCCTGTTCATCATCACAGCTTCTCCTACTGCAGGAACTTGTGGTGTTACTAGTAAGGAAATGAAGGGGTAAGAAGGGAGGAGTACAGGGATGTATTTATTAAACTATGAAGATAAAATAAACTGGGCACTTCCATACCTTATTTTTGTGTTGTCCATGAGAAAATGGACTGCTGGCCTTTGGAAATTCAGACTGAATTTGCAAATCGCCAGAGGAAAGACTTTGCCCCAGGCCCTCACCATCCAGTCCTTATCAACGTGACTGTCAGCAAGTGTGAAAAAAAATTCCAGGCTGACCTTTGATCCTAACCAGGGTGGTGTGGGCAGATGAAACGTCAAAGCTTTCGTCAGCAGTGTGTACAGCTCCTCTTCTCCAAGGCAGAAGTACCATCCAAGCAGACAGAAAAGATACCCAGTTCTGTCCACCTTCACACTGTGCATCAAGAAACCTTACAGGTATCGTCAGATCTAAAGCAGCAGAGCAGTGATATTGAGCTTGTGTGCAAAAACGTGGGCAACTGGAAACTACCCGGCTTCAGCCTGAGCCTAACAGCACAAGCGTCCATTCACCTTGGAGAACACAGCACCCACACAGGAGCTCACATCAGCCATGGCAGCAGGGCTGTGGGATGCACTGCAGGGATGCCAAGGGACAGGCAGCAGGCAGAGAAAGGCTACGAGAAGGAAAGAAAACCTGCAAATCTGTTTGTTCCAAACGCTTCCATCTTCTCCTTTCAGAAAGGAAATTACCAGAGGCTTTCCTGGGTTCTGCTGTATGCACCAATACTTCGATTCTGGCTTAATGATTCCTTAGTTCAAAGAACAGGCCTCTACAAAGGAGAGGCATTTACTTCAATCTGATACACAAATTCAAGTAAAAGCACGACTGAATGATGAAGATACAGGACTTTGAGCTACTCCTACATCACCTTTCCAAGGAATCTACCAGTCTCTGCAGAGCAGAAAGAAAGGTCAGTACTGCTGTGTGAAACAAACCGAAATCCTAATTACGTGCCAGCAGCATCACAGTTTGAAGTGAAGCTTGGGTGAACTTCTAGTCAGCCAGCTGCTGAAAAATTGGACGGTCGTTATTTCTACTTGGAAGTTTTCTCTTGAATCTCACCTTCTAGCAGGCTGGCAAACAGCAATACGAATCCCAGAGCAATAATTCTTGTTCACAATGGGCTGTTCTTAAAAACAAAAGCCTACGAATGGCCAATCACAGCATAATTATGGAGAAAAGTGCAAAACCTGGAGTGCCTGTCAACATACTGACTTTACTAACAACTGCCTGTATGTGCATGCAGAAACAGAACAAATGAACTGCTTCCCACTGCAGCAGTGCCAAAGGCGTGGAATGGTGTCAGTGAAGGCAGGAGTTCCATCTGCCAAAGCCCAAATACAGAGAATGGCAAGCAAGAGGAAAGGAGACTTAATGAACTCTCTCTAATGCAAAGGAACTTTTTTTTGTTAGTGATCAAAGCAAAAGCTCCCACCATGCTATAAAGAAAACAATAACAGAAGGAACTCCTCCACGTGAGCATTATTTTTAGAATGCACTTCTCCCTGTAAGGGGTTGAGATTCAGGACTGAGCTTTCCAGCCAAGTTTGAAGGCAGAATTTTTGCTAAAGAAAGAAGTAACCCCTCCAGCCTTTCAGAAAAGGTGTGAATGAATGAATTTGAAAGGAAGCACCTTGCAAGCTTGACAGTTAAGCAGCCCTTCAAGAGAAAACCTCAGAAAAGCAAAGGAGTCCAAAACAGCGTGTGAAAGCAGGCCTGCACACTTGCAACACTTCTATGTTTTCTCTCACAAGCCAGCAGTATTAAAAAAAAACCCTCTGTTTGGTCACACAATCTTTATACTGAGCCCAAAACCCAGAGTCTGTTAAACAGCATGAAAGCAAGGGCCTTCCATCAGAACAGCCAGCTGAGCTCTTTTAAGATACGTCCAATAAGAAGCTGCAAGTGTGAGCCTTCATAATGCAAAACATCTGAATGTGTTCTGAACAAAATCATCATCGGATTCAGATTAGTAGAAAGGAAAGTTTTTAAACAGAAGTTAACACAGATCACACTTATTTGTGTAATGGAAGCTTGGGCAATACACATAGTACTGAATTTCAAGTTATTCCTTTAATATTTAGAAAACTGGTTTTATTCTCAGTCTTTCAGATTTCTTTCTGAAGTATTAGCACCTACAATGGAAATAACTCAAACTTGGATTTACACTTGAAAAAAAGCCATGCTTGATCAGTTAATTTATCCTGTATTTTTCTACTTTTGAATATTTCACAGAGCACCAAGAGGGAAAAAAAGAGAGCAACATTTCAGTAATAAGTGAGCTCTGTTCTCAGCTACACGAGATCACAGGACCAGACATCTCCCTGCAGTAGAATTCAGGTCACAGTTTTCCAGCACACTTCAATCACCTCATTTTTATCATTATTTACGGTAGAAACTTCTATCCAGGTTTATAAAACCTATCCAGCCGTGCATTAGTTTATTAAACCAGAGCTGACCTGAGATGCAATTAGAATTTGACATTTTTCCATACTTAGTTCACAAGTTTATTATGAAAAACACTGCAGCTCTGTCCTGCAGTAACATTGTTTTACAGAAAAAAACAGTTCTGTTCAAAGTAATTCACTATGCTCAGACATTACAAGGGACCATATGGTTGGGCAAAGAGTGGAAAAGGGAACTGAGTGCAGACAAAAAAAAAATCAATACAATTAAATTAAACAGTATTCCCTGAAAATAAAACAAACAAACAGTTTCAGAACAAATATGAAGCCTTGGTACTTATTTTAAAAATGTTCTTTAAGCTTCAATGATTGTTTGCTGCTATCCTTATCTACAGTCATGCTGAATAAAGCTATAGCTAAATGGAAAGTTAAATGTATTCACGAGGTGTTAATGTCTACATCTTATTATTTGCAGTCTCTCAGAGAAAGCAAAAGTAACTACAAATAGCGCTATGCCAGAAACTGGTTTCTCGACCAACAATGTTGCTTCAGCATGCAATGGACTGGTTCATTCTAAAGTGGTCACAGCTGTTGACGACAAGAGGCTTTGTATTTGAATATGGCACGTCTTTTGGTCCATGTGAAAACAAGTTTGAATGTTACATATTTTCTGACACTTTGGAGTTACTGTTGCTCTTCCCGTTTTCTTTAGGTCAACATATGGTTCATGGCAATACTGTACAGCTCTGTACTCTTTACAGGAAGTAGTCCGGGGTGCGACGAGTAACGTGCGGCTCACCTCTGCGCGGCGCCGGGTCGAACTGCAAACTGAAAAGCATCTGCATTAATGCCAGCATTCCAGTCACACGCAGGTATTTCTTCCAATTGCTTTAAACTCATCTTTGCATTACTTTATACACTTGAAAGAAACAGCTCTTGGCTTTAGGCTCAAACCGGTCAGATACCAGGTACACATCTGGACATTAAAAGTCTCCTGTCATTATCGAAATGCACACAGCGCTTTGAGAATTCCTCTTTTATTGCTAAAGCTGCTGTAACAGCTTTGTAAAGTCCATGTCCTAACCTTCCCCTAGACTTACAGGTGGACATAGCTACCTCCCACCTGACAGTATTCTGACTTTCCAATTACTTACCTCTGTAGTATTTCATTACACTCTCACTTCACTGTATCTAATGAGCTTAATGACATGTCTAGATGCCAACAGCCGTTCCCAATATGGAACTGCAACGCTTTTAGATATCAGCAGCCTGACAATTCCACCCTCACCTCATCTTCTGAATGTGCACATGGTTTTGAGGTATGGTTTTTACCTTAAGTAGTTAATGTAGCAAAATACCACTGATCAAATCTCAAAATCATGTGCAACACGGATCTCATTTTTAAGCATACTTACAAGGAGTATTTTAAAGTATCATCAAGTTCCATAATTGCAGCCTGATTGCCACAACGGTAGCAATAGTTTGGAGCACTGAAAATTGTGACTACATTCCGATCATGGCACCAGTTGTACCCCTGCAGAGGAAAATAAACTGTTTAGGAAAACCATGTTCATTTGTTGCACCCCATAACTGACTATGAAACTGAATTTCAACGTGCAAAACCCTACATAGGCTTTGCAGTTTTAAACAACATTAAGGCTGTTTATTTCTCTTAACTGAAAAGGGAAAAAAGGAATTGCACCATAGCATATAACACCTTCCTAATAAGCAGTAGATGAGCACACTGAAAAACAGCAGGAATTCTCCACTACGTTGTTAAAAATTGAAATACCAACTGTGAATTAGACCATCTTTTAAAGCTAGGTGTGGGTTGTGGTTTTGATGACTACAGGTTAACTTCTAGGGACAAACAGAGACTAAGAAGAAACCACACACATCCCTTTACCTTGTAAAGAGGCCAAGTCTGCATCTCAGGCACCACAACTCCACTACCAACAGCTTAAACACAGCCTTGGCTGCTTACCTCCATTACCAACTGATGAGCTCTTGAAACCAATGTAAGGCCATTAGCATGGTTAAAGGTTTCTGAAATATCCTGTCCAAATGTATAACCTGCACCTCGAGGAGAAATTCCCCAGCCACCACGATCATCTGGATCTGACCATAGCAAGTCACACATTGGACCCTGTAAGAGATTTGGAAAGTATTTCATGAACTGAACCAAAAAAAGAAAAAAAAAAAAAAAGCAAGAACAAAAGCCACAACGTCCACCCTCATGAACCTGCACAGCTTACTGCAGCATCTCTGTAAGGCTTGGAAAGAAAATGTAAGCAAAACCCCACCTATCAGCTACAATAGTTAGTGTAGTTAAAGCTTGAAATACTCACAAGAAAATTAATTTTAATGGAAAAAAATTTCACAGAAGCAGTTCTCACCTCTGAGATATTAAAATCTGCTTTGTAACATCAGGCAAGAATGTGTCCCTTAATTTTCCTGCAGAAGACTAGTAGGCAAGACAGGTATTTTCAAATTGCTACATCGTTTTGAACCTGATTTTCTGCCTTTGTATATATTAAAATGCCCAGCATATGCTGAATCATGAATTGCACTGTGAGTTAAGATAATTAATCTTCAATATACCTCATGGGGAACTTCCTGCAAGCGATCCAGTGCTCTGATGTGATCCAGCGTATCTATTGATGGAGAGAGGCCACCATGTAGACAGAAAATCTGAAACAGACATCATGAAATCTCAGTTGTTTATTATAACTGTTTAGTATAAACAATTAAGAAAAATTTCCAGGAGGTTATTTCCAAGCTGCAAGCTCACTGAATACAGTGTTAACAGCTCCCTTCACAACCAGCAACATTTAACTTTGTCCAAGTTCAACCTACCTGGCCATCCACCAAGGCAGTTAGAGGAAGGTAATCAAAAAGGTCTGTAAAGTACTTCCAAACATTTGCATTCCCATATTTTCTTAAACATTCGTCATAGAAACCATATACTTGTGTGATCTGCCTGCTTTCATGGTTCCCTCGAAGAATTGTGATACGTTCACGGTAACGGACCTGAACACAATAGTGGAACACATGTTAGGGGCACGACAACATGCACTGCCCAAAACCACCATTTGCTTCTCTTCCCCTCCCCATAATGTGCCAAGTAAGCAATAAGAACAACTTGAATTACAACCTTAAAGGAAAAAAAAACAACCAGCTAAATGACACCAGTCTTCAGTCGCCTTGAGATGAAGTACAGGTTTTATCCTCTGTTAGCAGTGGACTTCACTGCCCTTGTGCACTAAGCTGTTATCTCCCATCTTTAAAGACTGCTGCTTCCACATTTAAAGATAGAAATAAATGCAAAGCTCCCTTTAGACAAAGTTATCCAGGCTTTTCAGAAATACATATGTACAAATCTTTACAGGTTTGTAAAAAATATTTTTGACAACACAGCCAACATTTCCGTTTTTGTACCTATAAACCCTTGCAGTAAATTCGTACTGATATCAAATGCAGTCAGGACAGTTACTACACATTTTATACTGGATGGTACAGAGGAAGAATTACCTTAAGAGCTACAAGCAACGTGACTGTTTCAACTGAGTAATAGCCTCTGTCAACATAGTCCCCCATAAACAAATAATTTGTGTCTGGTGATTTGCCTCCAATTCTGAAGAGTTCCATGAGGTCGTGAAACTGCCCGTGCACATCTCCACACACTGTGACAGGACATCGCACTTCTTGCACGTTGGATTCTTTTGTCAGGATTTCTTTAGCCTAAAAACAAAAACAAAGAAGTGCTAAGATTGCCTGTGAGCAGTTTTTACTCACCGCATGCTCCACTATCTGCAACGTTACGACATTACCTGCCCTTTTATGAGCTCTCGTCCTTCTCTGAAGCACATGGAATAGGAGCTTATCTACCTGAAAAACTCAGCTTCATGCAAAGACTTTTTAAAACTTCTGGGTGTTTTTCTTTTGTTGTTTTTTAAGAATTGGGCTTTCTCCCCCACACAGCATCCAGTGGGTATTTCAGAATTAGTTTCTAGTTTAGTAAAAACTGATATGTATTATAAAGCAGCTCCAAGAAAGGTAGCACAACTGCCTTCAGATCAGTGACCATCATCTCTGGGACTGTAAAGTTTGCAGTAAGCCTACAGTCATGCAAGTAGCTTATTCCCAGCCCTTCCAAAGCCTGAACTCAGACACAGCTGAATCCAGGATGTGAACATGGCAGTGTTAACCAGCTCCAGCCCCAGCAGGGTCCCACACTTCAGATGTCTTGCTTCAGAAGCTGGATGACAGTTTGCTACTCGTGTGCATCTCTTTGTATACAGCAGAAGATCCTACCTGAAGTAAATGCAAGAACTCAACCAACATTCACAGTTCTTACCAACCACACAGTAACTGTGTGCGTGTTGTAAGTAGGCACAAATGTGCCCTTTATAAGCTGAAGAAAGAAGCGGATTTTTGCTCTCTTCATTTTCTTCCCCAAAGTTTTGCACACACAGTTGCTGACGAGTAATTCCTACAAACAGCACAAGCTAATTATAGCATCAAAAAGGTAATACTGCCAGAATTCCTCAATCTGATCATCATGATGCCAGTTGCTGGTGACTGCTCTGACAACAACCTATAAATACACACAATTATTTTCTAAATCAAGGGAGTATTGGAGGCATTAGAAATATAAATAGCTGCAAGTTTACAAGTTGCCAGCTATTAAGATTTACACCTTTCAAGCACCAGTGTTCCTATTCAAAAAGGATACATTTAACCTCATTATATTACCAAGAAGAGAATATGAGAACTGCATTCTGCTCCACCATGCATGATGCCCACAGAACTCACTGTAACAGCACTAAATACCACCTACACACGGCCACACTGAATCCCAGATACCCTGAAACACACAGAAGCATGAGAGACGGGTGGAAGAGCAACACCACGTTCATTTTAGGGTCATTTCTCTCACTGCTTTCTCAAACCTAACCCGGCAACTCAAACCTAAGCTGATATCTAAAGCTGCATACTTGTTTTGGAGACTTTCTGCTAAGCAGAGAAGTATTTTGAGACACTGTAGAAAGAAAAAAAAGTCACCACCATTTGAAAAGCAGATTTGGAAAGTTAGGAATGAAATATCTGAAATTAAAATCTAAACAAGAGGTTAAATACCTGGTCCAACAAGAGCCAGGCTCGTTAAGGAGCATGCTGCTCTGTCCACATTCCCACTTAGCTGTGAAGCTATCAGCTGGGCAGTGATGGACACCCTCAGCCGTGGTCCCTCTGCTCCTAGGCATTATCCATACATGCCCAGCCCAGCAAGCATTTCAAACACCAATGGCCAGCAACACACACTTTAATGATGGAGATGCAAAGATTCCATTCAACACTAGGAAGAAATGCAAAATGCAGTCATGGTTCAGCACCCTGCCCAACACTGCTTGAGATACTGAAAATCACCAGCAACAAAGTTAAATTACTCTGCAGACCTACTGACAACAGAAGTCAAGTCACACGAGTTTCCACTCACACTGTGCCTCGGGCCAAAGATGGCCACTGGTGGCTCGTGGTAGATGCTAAAAGCATCAATTTATTTTAAGATAGTCTGACTTAAGTTCATTTTAATGCAGTGACACTCACCGGGTGTTCTGGAGGTGTTCTAACAGCCCGAGCCTCCTCTAATACACCACTACAGTCAAAGCATTACCCATCCCAGTTCTCCTTTTGACAGAGAAAGTTACAGAGACTTATAGCACTTCAATACAAAAAAAGCATTCTTTAATTAGAACACTTTCGACTGCCATAATGCCATTTCGTAATGCACTGGAAGCATCACACAAGGAATGCTGCATTCATTTTTCATCAAAGGGATGCAACTTTTATGCTGACTGAGATGAAAATGGCACCATTCTCTGTGGAGCTGTCGCTTCCTCAGTTTTTGAAACATTAAATCACTCAGATATGCAGATGACCGAGCACACAGGTAAGTCAGACAGCCCCGCTGATAGAAAAAGACGGTTCCAGGTCAACTTGCAAAACAGCAATCTGCATTTAAATCCTGCAGCAAAAGGATGCTGGTGTAGTCATCTACATATTTTCATGTTCTTGAAGCAAGTTTAATGAAATAGCAACTTATGACCTGCTCAGCCCATTTACAGTCTCATGTCCCACAGCATTAGCAATGGCATACACTCAACTGCTTAAGCAGTATACGAGTCTCTAAAAAAGAGCTTCAGGAGAGTTGGAAGGGGAAAATAACACTGAAAAACCATCAGCTGTACCCTGTTTCTGCATTTTCAGTCACAACTGTTGGAATACACTGTGACATTACAGAAACACAGGCTGGCAAGACAAGAATAGATGTAATACAATTTCACAACAAGGTTCACGAAGTCAAGCTGTTACTAATATCACTGAAGCATGGGTGACTCCAGCTTGGTACAGGACACACACCAGCCCGTGCAATCTTACTTGGTTTCATTCCCTGCTGACTGATCCCTTCCCTCAGAACCATGACCATGCTATTAGCTCAGTCACATTCTTCAGCAGAATGGAAGTGCCACCAGCAGCCACCACGTTACAGCCAGCAGGGAGGCAGGCAGCAGCGTCCAGCAGAGCCCTGCACCAGGCCGCCTGATGAGGGAGGAGCAGGGCAGCGAAGGCAGCCCTGATTCCCACTTCAAGAACCCTGTGACCTATTGCCAGGGATGGCAGTGCAACACTTCACAGTATGCTGACACTAACATTTTGAAACATTCAGGTTTCACTGCCTATCTCTACATACACAGGCAATGCCAAAATTCAAGATTTTCCTCGAGCACTTATCAGTGTTTTTGTTTCTTAGACATTTTTCATTTCTTAACAACTCTTTAACATTAAGAGACCCCCGAGCTTCTGCGGGACTTCAGTTCTCCTGACTCCACAGGAAGCTGAAGTCGTATTCTACATTCTAAAGGCTCAATACACTGAAGCAAACGCCCAGTATCAGCAGCATGCAACTGCAATGGCAAGTCCCTACATGCAGCTGTAAGACACGAGGAAAAAAGTACCAGAACTCAGTCAAATCTGTCCCACACAACCGCTGTCAATGTGGAAAGTCAAGTGCTACCTTAGGGCAACCTCAAAGTCCCAACAGCCAGCACGCACCAAACAGTTCACTGCTGCTGGAGTTCACTTCTCAGTATCTGCAGTATCTGCTTACTCAACTGCTTTTCTGGGGAAAAGGCAACTTGTGCAAACTCAAGAGAGGCAGAAGACAGGACTGAAACTAAGGCTGGTTTAAAGGCACAGGAAAACAATTTTCACTGTACAGTAACAGGATTATTACTGGATGAAAATAAAACCTCCAACTTAAGGATCCAAACCTTCCAGGACTGCTGCACATCTTTGAAAGTGACGAATAAACAGTAAAGCACTGTATCTTTCTTGTTTACAAAGCACCTCCTTATATGCCAAAAACAAACAACAGCAAAAACTCATTCTTAAAATACAAACATTAGTTCCATTGTTTTAAAACAAAGATTCAAGCAAGCACCACATTTTATAACAGGCTGGGGTGCAAAAAATTCAAAAAAGATGTCTGACTATTGAAGTCATTGGGGTTGGATTTTCAGATCTGCAGGACTTTATTTAATGATAGGCAGGAGCTGCCTGCACTCTGGCTATCTCCCATCTCCCTTGTTCTCTGCCTGTACTTCTGCCTAACAAGACACAGATTACAGCTCACAGCTGAGCACCTCGAGGGCTGCAACCCAGCCACTCTCACACTGCTGAAGGCAAGTCTGCTTCATAAGCAGAATACGTCATACCTGAGATAAAACACATCTGAACTGGTCCATTTCAAACAAATCTCTTCCATTCACCAGTATACAATTTCCCTTTTGTTTCTAGAACATGCAGTATTTCTTTTTCATGCCTACCCCTCCTCAGATCATTGCCTTCTAGCAGAAGCTCTGATAGCTCAAACCAAGTAACCTACTCTGTGAGGCACATAATACAGAAAAAATAAGAGCAGGAAACATTACTGTGGCTTCACTGAGCCATAAAAGCAGTGTTTGAAACTGCTGTGCAATGCTGAATCAGCGCAATAAAGCACTTATCAAAAGATTAATACTAACTCAGTGAAGGAAATATAAGCATCACTTTAATGAGACAACAGCTCTGCAGTCGCTGTGGAAATCTGTGATGCATTCTTGGAAGACCAAAAC